GTAGTGAGTGAACTCCTGCTGCAGGGGGGTGGGCAGCGGCGATGGGGAGAAGGGGGAGGGGTGGAGAGGGATTCAGGTGTGCAATCAGCGAGGCCTGAGCCTAGTTGTGGTCCGGGGAGCCAAGGAGGGGAGTCACGGATGCCAGGGACCCGAGGGCGCCGGTCTCTGTCGTCAGGAGCTGGCGGAGGTGAGAGGCTGAGGTGGGGTGATGCCTCTGTGGGAGGTACCCCTGAGCCCTTTGCTGGCCGATCGCTGCTCATCCGGACCCACTGCCTCCCCTGAACGCCCCCTCCCGTCAGGGCAACATCCACCCTGCTTCTCTGTGTGCCCAGCACCCTGGGGCGCCCTGTTCCTCTGCTGCGATTGCCCATAGATGAGTCAGGCGCCTGCCGCGAGACGGCGAGCTCCTCTTGTCCTCTGCGTACCCCCTGCCCGCCACTGTTCAGAAACTCAACTCGCCGTACTGGGTGGATGATGGGATTCCCGGGGGACTCACCTGCCGCCTGGCAACAGGGGGCACCTGGCACAGGGGGCACCCGGGGTGCGGGGAAAACACGGCCCGTAGAGAACGCACCCGAGCGTTCTCAAGCGCCCGAACGCACTCAAGCGCCCGCGTCTGCTTGAGGAGTCGTGTTCCGGGGGCGACGCTCGGCCGGCCCCCGGCCCCTCTCGCTGCCCTCCCCGGCCCTACGCATCGGGCCCGGCCGCAGAGGCTACAGTGTTAATGCGGACTGGAGCCCTAACACGCGTACTGGGTGTGCAGAGTGGTGCTGGCTCCCAGTCGAGGCTCCTAGGCCTCCCGCGGGCTGATGGAAAGACGTGCTTCTTTGTGAGAGTCTGCTCTGCCCTGTCTTCCTCTACGAGAATCCCCTCGCCCTTCTCACAACCGTCTCTGTCCGAACCACTGGCACCAGCAGCCTAAGTTTTAACGGCCCTGGACCACAGGACATGTCTCACGGACGCGGATGCTTCTAGAGCAGCCAGCACGTCCCATCCAGGACCCTGCATCTCTGGCTCCCTCCGGCTTTTCAAGGTTGCCTGAGAACCTGCTTCCGCCTTCCCTGGCCCTCCTTGGCCCCTGGGTCCTTGCTTGGGATGAGGCCCCTGCCCAGAAGGCTGGTGAGGGGCCCTGGTCACGCACCTGCCCCACTTACCTTCCCAGAGAAGCAGACTCCACAGGGACCACGTGGCCATCCTTCTCCAGAGAGGCCAGCAAGCTCCTTCCACAACCCCAATCCAGAACATCCTGGGTCAAGTGGATACCCAGAGGGAGCTGTGGTCCTTCTGGGAAGTCCCATGTTCAGAAGGAGGAATCTTGACTCAGAACAAGATGGCCCGAAAGTGAAAATATCCAGAGGAAAGTGGAAGTTGGCCGTCGGCCTAGCTGGACTTTCTCAGGAGCGGATTCTTGTAAGTCAGCCTCTTTCACGTGCCCGTGGTTGGCCAATGCCATTGCCAGTGGCAGGCGCCCCAACACAAGCCCACATCTTCCTGTGGGACCCGCCGGCCCTCCCTGCATCCCACTGGCCCCCTGGCTGGCCGCCTTTCCTGCCGCAGCCACAGAGAGGCCTCCAGATCGCAATTCCCTCTGTTACTTCTCTAAAATTCTTCCGCACCTCCCGCCGCCCTCAAAATAAAGACGAAACTCTCAGCCTGGTGTGCAAGACTCTCCTAAGTTTGACTCCGGCACGCTTGTCCGAGCTGGCCTCCCCGGCCCAGCCTGCTCTCTGGCCATCCCAAGCCAGGAGTGCTCCTCCTGGGAGCACCCTCTCCAGCCCGGTGCTGGCTCCTCCAGTGGGCGCCCTGCTCCCTTCGCCCCTCCGGGCCGGGCAGGCTGCAGCCAGTGGGCTCCCACCTGAGCAGACGGAGTGAGGGACCTCCTCTCCCGAGCCCAGTGCCGGCCGGGTCTCTGCCATGACCCTTGGCACGCTGTCCTGTGATGGCTTTCTTGTCTCCACGCACTGTTTGCCGGCGAGGTCTTCACCCGTTCGTGTCTGTGTTCCCCTTGGCGCTCGGCACACCGTGGGCGTTTAATGAACACTTGGAAAGGAGTGCACAAATCCTGCACACGGTCACAGGCCTCCTCCGCGAGGGTCTCATTGCAGCCTGTCAGGCGTGCGGCCAAGGTCAGCCCCGTGCGGAGGTCACGAGTGCGAGCTGGGACGGGAGCCTCACCCTTGGGAGCCCGGGCCACGTTGCCAGAGCTGTGTCTCCCCCGCCCTGGGTCTCTTTGCGCTTCCGGTTATGTGGCCTCTTCAGTCTGGGGAGGCTTTTCGGGAAGACGAGGGGAGTCCCCGCGTCCCGAGCGTGGCTCGCCGTGTCTGGTCCCGCAGAACTCCTGGCCTCTGCTAGGGACCCGACCAGGAATGAGGCAGCCATGGTGTCGGGACAGCAGGAGGATAGGCTTCCTGCCTTCCAGGTGCTCACAAGCCAAGTATCCTGGCTTGGATATGCCCAGGACGAAGGTCGGCCGTGCCACAGGCACGGCTCTGTGCCATGGGCAGCACGGCTTCTCCGTGCAGAGGGTGCGGTGGGGAAGAGGCGTCCGTGGATGCGGGCAGGGGACACTTCCCTAGAAGGTGGGCTTTGAGCCGCACCTTGAAGATAGGCACGATTTGGGTAGGCGGAGAAAAGGGATGAGCCAGAGGCCGGAAAAGAAGAGCCAAGTGGATAAGGCCAGGCAGGGGGAGCCCCAGGTGGGCGCCAGGACGATGAAGGAGGGCAGGGAGGGGAGGAGCCCCTCAGGGCTGGCGTGGGTGGGGCTGGAAAAGGAGGTCGAGGGTCAGATCGCTTGAGTACTGGCTTTTAGGCATCAGGTTTTGGTTCTGGGGGCAGCGGCTCTCAACCTCGCTGGGCTCAAATGCTTGGAGACTCTGGTTCAGTGGGGGCTGGGCCAGGACCCGGGAATCTAGTGGAACCAGCCTGTGTTCCAGGAGATTCTGCAGCTGGTGGGCCGAGGGAAGGCTCCGAGGGAGGGGATGTGGCCCCTTCTGAGCTGAGGGCGCCTGGCTGGTGGAAGGACCGCACGCAGGGCAGGCGGGCAGAGAAAGAAGAGGCAGGGAAGCCTGGGTGGCAGCCGTTGGGATGGTCCTGGCTGGACTAGAACGGAAGCCCCCAGAGCAGAGAGGAGGGGACAGGGCAGAGCTGGGACAGAACTCGGAAGCCACCTGGCTTTGGGGCAGAGAGGCCAGGGGAGGGGACTCATTCGTGACCCCATTGCGAATTCCATCCCTCTTCATCAGGGGTTTATTGAGCACCTAGTTACGTGCCAGGTGCCGGGAACACAGACATGGAAGGCGTGGCCCTGCCCTCGAGGAGTCTGCAGTCTGGAGGAGGGGATGGGCTGTGTCACCTGATAATGACAGTCAGCCGGGTAAGGGTGGCTTGCAAGGGCTTATTTAGAATGGGGTCTGGTGCGTGGTCAGCACTCACAAGAATCTTAACCGTTGCTACTAAGTGGCCAGGGAGGGAAGAGAGGAGAGCAGGTTAATGCAGAGCAAGGGGGTTCGGGTGTGAGTAGCTCCATCCGCCGGTCCCAGACTGGAAGCTTGGTGAGGACAGGGCCAGGTCCCCACCCTTCCCCCTTCCGGCAACACCCCCAGCCCCTTGCCTCGCCCCCCGTCGATAGCCACGCGCAGCCTCCCCAAGCCGGAGTGCCCTGGTCAGGTGTCCGGTCAGGTGTCAGGCCTGGGACGGCGAGGGCGTGAGACGCAGGAGTGGGGCCGTGGCGGGGATGTAGGGAAAGGGGCGCCCAATTCCTGCAGAGCAGACGGTGGGCGATCGTACCCCCTCCTCCCCCCCCTGGTCTGTCCAAGCGGGCACTGAGTTGAAATCGCTG